ATTGTATTTAAGAGAAAATATTTTCTTGCTAATTAGAAAAAATAGAAGAAACACAAGAATCCAAACACATGATCGAAGGTATTTTACAATTAAATAGATAGAAAACACCTTAGATTATATATTTAAACACGCGGTTATTAATTTTTTATTGTATTGTGTGTTTAAAATTTCTTAAATATCTGGAGATCATTCCTAGCTTTCGCTGTGAAATTTCAGAACTATCAAACACCAGGACTAGGGATTGTATACCGGTTAACCGATAAATTGACAAAAAAACATTCGATAAACTTACCGGTAAATTTTTGAAATTTACCGGTAATTCGGTAAATGAAAAATCCATACCAAAAATTTTTATGTAGAAAATATTGTGTTTATAGATATTTAAAAGGGCTAAAGGGACATTGAAAAAAACAGGTAAAGTGTAAGCAACAATATACCTAATTATTAATTTTATGAGAGACATTTTTCGTTTAATTTTAATTTAAACTTTCTTGGGTTTGAGAGGCGATGTAAATCGTACAGATTACAGATACAGATCGTCAAAATCAGGAGATAAGACTATAAATAAGTTATTTTTTAAAAACTGATAATCAATAAAATGGTATTAGGTACTATATATCATTTACTTTGTTATATTATTCTGTTGTATTTTTATTTTTCTGTATTATTTTATTTGTTTCTAAAAGTTATTATTATAGTTTGTTTAGAACAGTGTTTCTCAACCTCTAACGAATCGTAGCCCCGTTAAACGTAGTATCGCCTCTTTCAACAAAACCGTTACGTAGTATCTCCTCCTTCACTACAAAATTCCGATTCCGAGGGCCAAGACTAACTCCAAATTCATACTGCATTGAATAGACTAGTGACTAGTATAATGTTATTTGTTTAATTATTGCACGATATAACGAATAAAATATCTAATTATTCTTAATATAATGTTTTACTATATCGCCCAGAAAATTGTTTTTCGCCTCCAAAATATAAATTGTTACTAATCGCTCCCTGAACATGAAAAAACGCCCACATGGAAGCGATATCGCCCCGTTGAGAAACACTGGTTTAGAATAACACTTTAATTCTTATATTTTTTATATTCTATATCTTTGAAATAAAAAATGTGAAATGGAAATCAAAATGATTTATAATTTTTATCACCTTAATTTTATTTTTCAGAAAAAAATTTTCCGGTAATTTACCCGGAAAAACCGGTATTTTAATTTTCATTTACCGAATTACCGGTAAATGAAAAAGTCGGTAAATTTACAATCCATAACCAGGACTATCAATAATTAATTATCGTCGATTAGAGAAGTATTGATAAAATAATAATATGTATAACTTACAGATTATGTTAGGTAAATATTTCTCGAGTATCTGCCATATGTTTTAGGTTCAAATGAAGTACGACAAAATAACAAATATATCACGAAACTACAACTCGAGATGCCATATTTGTAGTGGTTTGCACCCGTATATCGTACTTTTCTTATTATCAAGCTCTTGTACATCATATTTTTCATGTTAGCAATTGAGTCCTCTATATAACTGCTTTCAAGAGAAAAATTTCGAATTGAAATAACGTCACTTTCGGTTTGTATCGGAAGTAATTATGTAGGTAATGGGTCTTTCTGCTCTTAAGCTTTTCATATCTGGTCTCGTGTTTTATCTATTTAACTCTCTTCTCGAAGTAAAGGAAGGACACACAGCTTACTAACTGACTGACATACAGTGAGCGACAGTGGGTATTTATATATGTACAATTTTGTCAAGTTGCAGCTAAATATATATCCTCTTACGAAATTAGCAATTTATTATCACGAAATTACCTATGATAATAACTACCTGTACAAAAAAATATGTTCCTAGAAACTAAGATATAAATATATTCATAATGAGAAAAAGCCATGTTGTTATCTTAAGAGTGTATTCCCTTTAATAGTCTAGTTAATATGTTCATTTACGAAACATATATCCGATAATTAATAAATAATTAATTTTATCACGAATTTACCAATGTTTACCGTAACTTGAGGCTACCTGAAATGATGAACGAATTTAAGAAGGAATAACTGTAAAGAAAAGTAATTTCTAGAAAACCACAATTTCTTTCCACGAATTTATATACTGTATATCATTTCATTTTGATAAAAATGATTTTCTTTCATTTAATTTTCTTTCATATTCATATTAATAATATCAGAACTTTTAATATGAACAATTTGAATTTAATATTTATGTGATTTCTCGAAAGTATAGATTGTTTCCAAGAATAAAATTTTCATACGGTATTGGAAAGCATTATTGATTACAACGAAAGATATTAAAACACCCAGCGGTCGCTAGATGTAGTCGCACAGTACTACAAATAATAGAAATATTCGTTATTTTACTAATCTTTGCAGCATAAAGTGTAGATCAAGACCAACGTACAGGTGGTTATTTCGTAATATCATAGATAATTTCGTGTTACTAAATTGCTAATTTCTTAAAAGGATATATATTTAGCTGCAACTTGAAAAAAATTGTACCCGTATAAATGCCCGCTGTATGTCAGTCAGTAAACTGTCTGTCCTTCCTTTATCTCGAGAAGAGAACTGAATAAGTGAAACACGAGACAAGATATGGAAAGCTTAAGAGCAGAAAGCCCCAGTAACTACATAATTACTTTCGATGCAAACCTGAAGTCACGTTATTTCAATTCGAAATTTTTCTCCTGAAAGGAGTTACATAGACGACTCAGTTGCTATCAGGAAAAGTATGATTTACAGGAGAAAACCACTACTAATTTCAGATGGAAAGAAGATATTTTAAATTAAATAAACTAAAAGATATGATTAAAAATTGCAGTCCGGCATTGTTACCATGTAACAATAAATTGTAACATGGTATATTGAACACTTTCTATCCTCGCGTGGTTAAAAATTTTATCGTTTTTTACATTGACGATAATTTGATGGCATCTCGATTATTATTCTCGTGATATTTTGGTTATTTTGTCGTACTACATTTTAGGCCTAAAGAGTATGGCAGATACTCGAGAAATGTTCAACTAACATAATTTGTATATTATACATATTATTATTTTACTTCTCTAATAGACGATTATTAAATAATAGTCCTTTTGTTCGATGTGTCTGAAATTTCACAGCGAAAGCTAAGAATGATATCCAGATAATTAAGAAAATTTAAACGCAGAATACAATAAAAAAAATAATGATAACCACGTGTATATAATCTAAGATATTTTCTATCTATTTAGTTGTCAAATACCATGTGTTTGGACATTCTATGGAACACGTGAAGAAAACACCGTCTTCCTTGTGCAACCGATATCATCCAATAACATCACGGCAATAATTAATAGAAACACAGGCTTGAGGGCGGAATTCAGAGTAGTAGTTATGCACGAGATTTAAAAAGTGAGTGTGTGTCGAATTGTCATACCGTTGTTTTAATGATTAATCATTTCGTCATTCACGAAACACTGCTGGACAAAACATGTCGTGACTTTCCCTAAATTGCTGTTATGTCATTATTTGGTTGAGCAATCGATGGGACTTTAAAATTAATGGCTCAAGAGAACTTAAGTCTGCTTCTATTAACTGACACAAAAGCCAAATATTATACTTATATGCGATCCATCTATAAAGATTTATTTAACCTTTACGGATAGATTTACGAAATCAACAAAGTTGATCTGAAAATTTTTATGGAAAGAATTTCATAAATTTCAGAAAGAAATGAACCAGTTGTTTGAACAAATAACTATTTTTTTGAAATTGAAATTTTAGACAAGATGTTCGAGGTCAAAGTTCTTTGTGCAAAGTCTACGAGCCGATTGCCACTTGTATGTTGGTCGTCAATCGAGTTTCTGAACGTTATCAACTTGCATTGATATTTGCAAGAATTTTTTATTCTAATTATTACAACGGGCCTTTAATATGTATTGTATGCGGCCTCATATGTGCGATTTAACTGATTGCTAGTGTTGGTAGGCAGCTATTCGTAGCTGTTGGTATTTTAAAGATTTCTTGGCATTTTTCTTGACATCACTAAAGAAACCATCTGAAGAACGAGTAACAATTAACCTGCACATAAACATTTTTTTCGTGTACTTAATGACTCGACCTGGCAGACAGTTGCTTACACTATTTACGGTATGTTTTCTATGCAATAAAAAAATATCAATGTTCTTATACATATTGCATGTTCGCCACGTCATTTCTTTAGTTATTTCTTTAGTTTGTCGCCGAGTACGGACACAGTATTCGAACAAACGAATATACAACAGAAACGTGAATTCAATTCATATACATGTATAGGCTATATGTGAGAGGCCGGGGGTTACAGTGCAAAACTCGAAACCCTTTTTCTGACGTCGGGACGGTAAGTCCTCGTTCAATTTTCACTGAATGGCTTGTTTTCTTTGTTTACAGTCGGAGGTGGGAAAATCGTAAAATTTTCCTTTCTTGTAAGATGTGACACCAGTTAAGATAAATTAATAAGATTATAAATAAAAGACGAGTATTATCGCCATTATACTCGTCTAAAGATTGACTTTAATATCTAGTTAGAGGGCGGAATCGAATGGCGAGGTCGCTGGTAAATCGAAAAAGTGTCCGTTTCTCCAATAATAACAGGTTGACTGGTTGACAAAATAACATATTTAATATAGAAATAAAGCGGATTACAAGATTCTTCTATGTTCAATAATTAAGATTTAAACGATAACAACTATCTACATAATTATACGCTAGGCCGAGAGAGTGTGTTTACAATTTAAATTACAATACTTCGGGATGATTCGTTGTTACCCGATCCGGTTTCTATGGATCGTCCGCGAAACTGGATCGGAAGTCGGCGATCTGTAGGGAAATTAGACAAGATTACAGATTGACAAGAAATTAGACGTGGAAACAAGACAGAATAAAGAAAAGTTTCTTATAATTTCCCTGTTTTGCGAATTTACGGAAAAACAACTCCCCGAATCTCACACTATATATACTTGCATAATGAATTTATTATTGCAAAGAATTCTTCGTAATACAAAATATCCAGTCAGTAATATACACCATTAGATATTTTACTACTTCTTTCAATATTTTTTTTTCGTCCTTCTTCTTCAGAAGGCAAATTACGTATCATTTCCACTGTTCGATAAGAACATCTACAAGAAGAGTTGAAATTTTAAAAAAGTTATAAATGACATTAATTAATATTTAGTTTATGTATAGAATACTACATCATATAAAACGTATTTATTGTTTTTGTAAAAATAAACTGTTCTTATCAATTGGTCTCCCGGAACTTTTTCTATTTTCCGGGAACTCTTGGTACCAAAGCTTGATCTCTTGGCGAATACGCTTGGCTTCTTGGTGTATCTTTACCATCTACTGGTGAATATGCTTGGTCTCTTGGTAAATATGCTGGATTTCTTGGAGAATATGGTCTGTGCTTGGGCGGATATACTGGATTTCTTGGAGAATATGGTCTGTGCTTTGGTGGATATGCTTGCTCAATTGGATAGTATGCTTGGTTTCCTGGAGAATATGCTTGGTCTCTTGGTGAATATGCTATATTTATTGGTGAATCTGCTTGATCTCTTGGTAAATATGCTGGATTTCTTGGAGAATATGGTCTGTGCTTGGGTGGATATACAGGATTTCTTGGAGAATATGGTCTGTGCTTTGGCGGATATGCTTTCTCAATTGGATAGTATGCTTGGTTTCCTGGAAAATATGCTTGGTCTCTTGGTGAATATGCTGGATTTCTTGGAGAATATGGTCTGTGCTTTGGCGGATATGCTTGGTCTCTTGGCGAATACAGTTGATTTCTCGGTAAATATGCTATTGGTGAATATGCTATAGGTGAATATGCGTAGAATCTTGGTGAATTTATTTGGTTTCTGGTTGGCACGGACGCTCTACTTATGAACAGAGCATAACGATCAGGAACAAGATAAGCATACATCCTTCTGTTCCAGTCTAAATCAGACTTGTAGCCAAGTCCTCTGTTTCTTCCATAACGTTGGGCTTGACTTATACTTAATGCCGCAAGGATAAGTAAAGTTATGAATTTCTCCATTATTTCTCTCGCTGTGTGAATAAATTGGATGACTACTGGCCGCTTTTATATGTTCAGTTATCGTAATCAAGAATGCTTACCAGTAATTGAATACAGTGTTGTTGCATATAATAATATTTTTCTCGGAAACAATCTCAAATTTTAAGAAATCAAAAAAGAATAATAAATTCATATTAATTTTAGACAAAATTATTTAATTAAATCTTATGATATTGTTAATATTATATTTGTATTTCGAAGAAATTTATACGAAAGAAATAATTTAATATTTTAATCGAAATGAAATTTTATATATAAATTCGTCCTGTCAGATTATGGATTTCTATAAAATGTTTCTTTTATTATAATTTTTACTTATAGTAATAAATTTATAAGGCAGGATCACGTTACAAACAAAGACATTTTTAAATTCGCATGTCTTATATCAAGCTTAATTATTTTTCAAATTATTCATGCCAATGTTCTGAACTTAATTGGTTTCAATTTGAAAATATTGTACACCTATAAATTCTCACTGTCATTTGTCTGTATGTCAGTCTGACTGTCCTTTCGAGAACGGAGTTACATAGACGAAAGTCAGGACCAAATATGGAAAGCTTAGAAGCAGGTGGCATCGATGATAACTGTATAAAATATTCCAGTTTATACTGAAAGTCACGTTATTTCAATTCAAATTTTTCCTGAAAAGAGTTGGGACTCTATTGCTAAGAGAAATAGTATGATGTACAGGGGCAAGACACTACTAATTTGAGGCGAAGAAAGTATATTTTAAATTGATTAAATAAAAAATATGATTAAAAATAGCAACTCGGCATTGTCAATAAATAACTGCTTGTTTATTTTAAGGAAATGAAGTAAATTTATTTTAGTTAGCATTAATTTTCAAATGCCTGATGAAATAATATACTGAGCTGTTCATAAAACTATAAGAAATCGGTAAATATGATAATTCTCTTTTTATACCCAAAATATTAACGAAATTGTGTGAAAAGTTGCATGCTAACCATTTGCTCTGACTTGTTACTGCCAAAGATTCGTTATTTCTATTATATGCTAGACTGTATGATTTGTTAATACGAGTATTATGCCATGGTGAGAGAAGTCAACGCAACGCAATTCCGTCTGCCAAACGGAGGATGTTTTCCGGGTGAACTTTTATAAGCAACTGGACCTCATTGAGGTGAACAGGAGAAAGCCAGGAAAATTTACTTGACGTATTCATTGGTATGGCTCAAACCCACGAGTACCAATTCATTCGGCTACTGCTGGACTGATATAAAGTAATACAGAGCATATTCGTCGTGTCATGTTATACAGGAATACAGACAAATATGCAGTAAGTGTTAATATCCTCTTAAAGTTCATACGTACAGTATTATAGAAGAATAGCAAAAAGTGTTCGATTTGCAAAAAGTAAAATAAAAATGAAACAAATCAGCCGAAAGATCATTACCTAAAAGTAAAACATTAAAATAATTTTCATATTTTCAAAATACATATAGTGTGTAAATTCTGATAGTTGCATTAAGAGGATTTTGACGCATAAATTAGTTTATTATAATATCAAAGTTAAACAATGTAATTTTGTGCATATTAACGAGATGTTAACGTATAAATATACAAATGAGTTGCTGCGTTATATGCGTCGTCACGAAGAAACTTTACAGTGATAAGAAACTCCGTGTTGTCCACCTGCTGAAGAAAACTTATTCTGTTGTGAAAATAGCATTAGGAATTGGTGTCGGCATTCCAGTGTATCCAGAATAAAAAATAGTGAGTTATCGTATTCGTAAAAACAGTCTCAGCATTTTGTGTATTATTTCGACCCGGTTCTCGGTCCTCTGATTACCTACAAGTCTGGTTTATTTTATGTGAGCATGATTTCGCACCAAATACTCCGTGCCAATTTGCAACTTTTGACATGTACTCCTTCATACCTCTAAGGTGTGCGGCCGTTGACAGCTGCGAAATTGTAGAGACGAGGCATAATCTTTTCGATAAATTAGAACTGTAATTAAAAATTGCAGCTCGGCAATATCAATAAATAATTGTTTGTTTAAAAAAGAAATTAGTAAAATAGTAAACAAGAATAGAAACAGAAAAATATTATCATGAGACAAAAACGCAAAAAATTATTTTAAAAATTACAATTTAATTTAAAAAATTTTTTAAAGAAAATAACCTTTACAAGAGCAGATAAAGCTAAACAACTAATTTTGGTGGAAAATAAATGGGAAAAAAGGAAAATCTTGGAAATACAGTGAAACAGTGAAGTGCTCGTTATGCGAGGTACTCGCTTAACGAGCACCTCGCATAACGAGTGTTTTGCATAAAGAGCAAATAAGCTTATTAGAAATGACTCGCTTAACGAGTGAAGTTTCGCATAACGAGTGACGAGGAAAGGGGAAATCCTTGATTGTGGGCATGCTCCATTATGCTATTATCTGTGAATTATTCTTAATGCAAATCGAATTCGCATTTCACGTTGGTTCATTCCGTGCTTGAAGAAAAGATGATGATGATTCACGCTTCTTAAACAATATATATTGTATAATTGAATAAACTTTATACGTAAAATACCGTATTTACTCGCGTATAAGACAATCTCGCATATAGGACAAGATGCGAGTTTCAAGATCAAAATAAAGAAAATTAGATTTATTAATACAATTCAAAGTTTATTCGTTAAATCACAAACAAATTATCATCAAATGCAAGCAACCATGTTTTCTTGAAACTATCACCTTTTGTCTACTGGGACTCGCCACTCCGAAGGTTCGTTACAATTCTCCTCTTTTTCACTCTTACTCCACAAATCATCGTCCTCTGGTCTGTTGAGTGAATTCAAAATGCGGTATTTCCTCAATTACTGCTATCAGCTTTTGAAGATTGCTTTTCCACACACCTGATACCCATTTAGCAAAACCCAAAGATTATAATACACGTAACAGAAAAAAAGTTTATTTTTAATGATTCAGAATGTACAAATATTTATCAGAAATACCAATTTAACAAATATGATAATACAGTAGAGCGTCGTTTATCCGAAAGTCGGTTATCCGAAAGAATTCCAGTTGGCAAATTTAAATATTCGCTAGTGCTGTGGCGCTGCAATCTTTGGCTATGTCTTGGGCTACTCAAATATTTTACGTTTTTGATACTAAATTAACTTCTGAAGTAGAGTAGAGCGTCGTTTATCCGAATCAATTGGGGACTGGGGTTGTTCAGATAATTTATTTTTCGAGTAACCAATTATGTACGAAAAAATATATTAATTTATCCCGTGTTCAAATTTTCCTCCGTTGCGTGTCGCTTCGCGTTGAATTTTCGTCGATGTTAAGCCTAACGAAGACTATTGTATCGTTAAAAATTATTTTTTTATTTTGTACAAACAAAATAAATATATTGAAAAATATAAAAACAATAAAAAATTATACTTCAGAAGTTAATTTAGTATCAAAAACGTAAAATATTTGAGTAGCCGAAGACATAGCCAAAGATTACAGCGCCACAGCACTGGCGAAAATTTAAATTTGTCGACTGGAATTCTTTCGGATAACCGACCTTCGGATAAACGACGCTCTACTGTATGATTTTTTATTGTTTTTATATTTTTCAATATATTTATTTTGTTTGTACAAAATAAAAAAATAATTTTTAACGATACGATAGCCACGATTATTATTTTAAAAAGTTTACGTTAGGCTTAACATCGACGAAATTCAACGCGAAGCGACACGCAACGGAGAAAAATTTCAACACGACATAGGTTAATATATTTTTTCGTAGATAATCGGTTATCCGAAAAATAAGTTATGCAAACAACCCCAGCCCCCAATTGATTCGGATAAACGACGCTCTACTGTAACTACATTTATAATCATTGCTAAGTGACCAGCTATTTTCGGATCATCCACCTTAATTTCGATAGCACTCTGGTATAATGGCAGCGTGAACTATACATTGTTCACAGAAATTATTGCAAAAACGCAAAAAATCCTTCGCTCACGCGTATAGGACTACCTAGGTTTTTGAAGCAAAGAAAAATGAATGAAAACCTCGTCTTATAAGCAAATAATTATTATACACCAATAAAATATAAAAAACTCACTTTAGTATATCCGCATGTAGTAAGGAAAACACTTGATTTTTCGCGAATATGTGTAATTTGAAAAGTCCGATTAGTGACGAAGCCGGAATTTTGTAATTCGATTTTTGCGACCAGGTGTTTGAGGTCAAAATTCTCTATGTAAAGTGTACGAAGTGTACGAGCAGATTGCCGCTTCGATGTTGGTCGCCTGCAACGTGTGAATCCAGTTTCCAATTGTTGTCAACTTACATAATATCTGCCACAATTTTTTATTTTGATTTATACGACAGGTTTTTAGTTAATGTGCATGGCCTGCACATGTGCGATTTAACTGATTCCTGAATTTGGTAGGCAGCTGTTGATGTTTTAAACGTTTCTTGGCATTTTTCTTTGTTATGACGTTGTACAACATGTCTGTCATTGACGAACCTTAGAGATTTCAACTGCTTTAGAAAGAACGTCATAAGCGTGTCACCACATTTATGTTTTTGTGTAAAACCGAAACAGAAAAACCTACGTGGCGGAGCTGAGCTACGATTCATAGAAATTACCTAGTAATAGTCCAAATTGTTTTATGTTTTTATGAAGCCATAACATATTGAATCCAATATTTCTATGATAAATAAAATTTCGATTTATGCAATATTTTAGAATGATAAACAACTAATCCTTTCTGATAAGTACAAAATTTTTTGAAGAGAACAATTCACACATGGAACACACCAGTAATTGATTACGTCAACTTTATACATACATTCAAAAGTCTGTAATAAAGGACAAAAGAGGAGCAGAAGACTCGAATGCGTTGTCTTGAATAATAAAGTTAGCATAATCAATTACAGCTGTTTCCTGTGTAAATTGTTCTATTCTAGTTCTATTCAGAAAAAAAGTATGCTCAAAAGTTACTGATTAATGAAACAATCGAAAGAACGAGTTTCAATTAAACAGCAAATGATCATTTTTTTCATGTAGTTAATGACTCGACCAGGCTTACACTATGCACATTATGTTCTCTATTACGACCAATAAATATCAATGTCCTTGTTGATAATGTCACTAGCTACACTTATACCTACAATACATACTGTTTGTTCGCTAAGTAAGATATGTCTCGGAAGGTATTTATGTCTGATACTTTTTAGTTTCTATTTTCTAGTTTTTCTAGTTCATATTTTCTAGTTTTCTAGTTCGAATACCACGTGCACCGAGTATGGGCACGTGGTATTCGAACAAACGAATATACAGCAAAAACGTGAATTCAATTCATTTACATACAGAGGCTACATATATTTGCATAATGAATTTATTATAGCAAAGAATTCTTCGTAATACAAAATATTCACCCAGCAATATACATCATTAGATATTTCACTATTTCCTGCAATATTTTTTCTCGTTCTTTTTCAGAAGGTAAATTACGTATATGATTTCTTTCCACTGATAAGAACATCTACAAGAAGAGTTGAAATTTTAAAAAAGTTATAAATAACATTAATTAATATTTAGTTTATGTATAGAATACTACATTATATAAAACGTATTTATTGTTTTTGTAAAAATAAATTGTTCTTACCAATTGGTCTCCCGGAAGTTTTTTCTATTTTCCGGGAACTCTTGGTACAAAAGCTTGATCTCTTGGCGAATATGCTTGTTTTCTTGGTATACATGGTCCGTGCATTGGTGGATATGATCGGTCTATTGGTGAATATGCTTGATTTCTTGGTATAGGTGGTCCATCTTTTGGTGAATATGCTTGGTTTCTTGGTTTAGGTGGTCCATCTTTTGGTGAATATGCTTGGTTTCTTGGTATAGGTGGTCCATCTTTTGGTGAATATGCTTGGTTCCTTGGTATATGTGGTCCATTTATTGATGAATATGCTTGGTTTCTTGGTATAGGTGGTCCATCTTTTGGTGAATATGCTTGGTTTCTTGGTATATGTGGTCCATTTATTGATGAATATGCTTGGTTTCTTGGTATAGGAAATCCATTTATTGATGAATATGCTTGGTTTCTTGGTATATGTGGTTCATTTTTTGGTGAATATGCTTGGTTTCTTAGCACTAACACACTACTCATAAACGGATCATAACGGCCAGGACCAGGATATGCATACATCTTTCTGTTCCAATCTGCATCAGAATTGTAGCCAAGTTTTTTGTTTCTTCCATAATGTTGGGCTTGACTTATACTTAATGCTGCAAGGATAAGTAAAATTATGAATTTCTCCATTATTTCTCTTGCTATGACTAAATCAGAAGACTGCTGGACGTTTTTATATGTACAGTTATTGTAATCAAGGATGTTTACCGGTAATTGAATACAATGTTGTTGCGTATAAAATATTTTTCTAGGAAACAATTGCAAATTTTAAGAAATCAGTAAAATAATAAATTAATATTAGTTTTATACAAAATTATTTAATTAAATCTTACGGTGTTATAAATATAATCATTGTACTTTAAAGAAAATTATACGAAACAAATAATTTAAACAAATAATCGAAATTAAATATTAAGTATAAATTTGTCGTGATAAATTGTAAAATTCTATAAATTGTTTTCTTTCTTATAATTTTTAATTAAAGTAATAAATTTATCAAAGGCAAAATCACGTTACAAACAAAAACTTTTCTGAATTCTCATGTCTTATATCAAGCATAATTATTTTCCAAATTATTCGTGTTAATGTTCTAAAGTTAATTGGTTTCAATTTGAAAATATTGTAGGTCTATAAATTCTCACTGTCATTTGTCTGTATGTCAGTCTAACTGTTTTTTTTTTTTTTTGATAACGAAGTTAGATAGATGTAAGTCGAGACCAGATATGAAAAGCGTAGGAGCAGGAGACTCCAATTAACGATCTAAAATATCTTGGGTTTCAACGAAAGTCACGTTGTTTCAATTGAAATTTTTCCTGAAAGGAGTTAGACATATGTCTTATACGACTCTATTTCTAAGAGGAATACGAATAGTACAATGAACTGTACAGGAGAAGACTACTAATTTGAGGTAAATAGCGTATAATTTAAATCAAACACATAAAACGGCGAAGCCATTCTTGAAACAAGATTGTCTCAGGGAGCTCGAGCAATGCATGTGCAAATTTCGCACTTGCGGCTGTTTGTAGAAACTTGTCTTAGGATTTTGTGTTTTATTTTGACCCGGTTCTCAGTCCCCTGACTACCTACAAGTCTGGTTTATTTAATGTGCGTATGATTTCTGCACGAAATATTCTGTGTCAAATTGCAATTTCTGACATGTACTCTTTCATACCTTTAATGTGTGCAGCCATTGACAGCAGTGCGATTGTAGAGACGAGACATAGTTTCGTTAATAAATTAATAATATGATTAAAAATTGCAGCTCGGCATTGTCGCGATGTCATAATAAATAATTGCTAAATAAATAAATAATAAACTTTTTATAACAATACAAGTCGACCCCCCTATAACACTGTTGATTTTTCCGTTTTATATGAATTCCATGTTGTACGAGTCACTTAGATTTTACAAATACGTGTGCTGCGCTGTGAACAGCTCACGTATTTGTAAAAGCTAAGTGACTCGTACAACATGGAATTCATATAAAACGGAAAAATCAACAGTGTTATAGGGGGTCGACTTGTATTTCAAAACAGCGCGCCATTTTAAAATATCGTTATAAAAAGTTTTCATTGGCTTTTTTTATTCTGGGTAACGTTTAAGATGAAAGTCATTCTTTTCCATACAATTTTATTGTTACAAGCTTAAAATTAAGCCGTAAAAATAAAATATCTTTAAGAGGAAACCGCTGTAAAGTTTGATCGATTTACCCCAATGTTTTCGCCGGAATCTCATTAATAAGAAGGAAGGCTTAAGTTTAAATTTTGAGCTTTTCAGACCCAGTGTTTCTTCTCTAGCAGCGTCTGCTGTGCCGGATAAAGAAAAATAATACAGCATTATTGGCTATTTTCGCACTTTTCAGTTTCTTATATTTTGGCAACCACTTTACAGAAAATCTTGAAATTTTATACATTATATAAAAAACAATTTTCTTTCGAACGAAATACATTTGAAATTATTTCGGATTTTGGGGAGTGTAGAAATCGATGCCCGAAGTCGGCAACTATGACTCCTGTATATAGTATAATTAGTCCGTGACTTTTTTTACTTGGCAGGTAGTCATTTCTACCCCTCTTGAATTTATTTATAAAATATGTCTTCAAAATCAAAATAAAATATGATGAAACATTCTAAATATGTTAATATTCAAAATCAAAATAGAATTTTGGTTTGGTTTGATTTACAACGAATTCAAACAGAATTTGAATTTAAACTCGTTACTGCAAACGAATTCGGTCTATGTTATAGAAGTTGTTTACAGGAAAATATCACTAGGAAATTAATGCAGAATGTCGCAGGAATTAATTAAGTTGATGTATTTTTCTGAAGACCAGGAATAAAAAGAAGAAATATTACAAACAATTTTATAACTTTACCAATATAACAGTAAAAACTATGAAGATTCTAAAGAATTTCGAAAATTCGAAGATTTTATACTTTTCTTTATTCTACTTAAGTGTTATTACCGGAATATCGAGAAAAGAAATTTTGTCATAGACATTCTTCATAAAGTTTATTGTTTTTAAATTTATGCAAATGTCAGTAGATTTTTATGGCAAGGCCGTTGACTAGCCGATTGCAGTTTAATGCATCCCATCTTCGTATCCCATTCGTGTGTATTCGCTCTAATGTATGAAACAGAAATTTTTACTGTCACTCCTTCGATACAGAGCTCTGTTTGGTGATCACAAATAGTATGAAATAAAAATTGAATCTCGTTAAAAGATGCATTAAGAATGATAAAATCGGATGTAATGAAATCAGAAAAACAAATCTGACAATACAAAATACGAATGAGTATGGGCCACTTCAAGATCCTTTGAACTGTTTAAGTGTATTGATGAGAGCACTTCTTCAAATTAGCTTGAATGAACTGGTAAAAGATTTCTCCGTTAACGGTAAACAAAGTTTAAATACGACCATTTGTTTTTCTTATAGTGCGATTAAGTGATTTGGGACTGATTAACAATCTGAAACAAAGCGTATTGCAGCCTGCACAACTGGAGCATTTATGTGGTTGTAGAGTAAGAAAAGTGATGTACCATAATTGGAATTTAACTCCTTCAATACATTTGTTTTGCTTCAAATGCAACTAAGAAATTCACAAAAAAAAATTTTTATATGAAATAATTATTTACGCTTAAACGGGAATCTGACATCCAAAAAAATAATTTCCGTTGGGAAATAATCCCCGCGAAATAAAAACCCCTCCAAAAAGTGTTTTTGCAAAAAAAGTATATAAGAAAATAAACATAATTTAAAATAAATGCTTTTGTTTGAAAAATATAGCTGTAATCATTGTTATTCTTTTGTTTAACAAGGCGTGAAATTTCACATGTGTAGTTTACATTGTTTACAAAGTGGTTGACCTTGAGAACAGCTCAAGTCTGCTTTCCCGGGCAGTTTTCATGTACGCTTTAGGGGAATACTGGTTTAAAGCACGAGGGGAGCTAACTTACTGCATCTGTTCAAATATAACATAATATTGTCGATTTTTATGCTATTAAATTAGAAGGGGACCGAAAAAAAGGTATGGGGAAAAAATTCTACTGTACAAAAAACAAAAAAAACCTGCTGATGTAATAAAAACATCCAATAGCGTTTAAAAAAATTTTACCTAAATCAAATCTGTGAAAAAGAAGTTTAGAAAGATTTAATTAATTTGATTAAAAAACTCCCATAAAAACAATAGCGCGATTAATTACGTAATTAATAAAAAGTCATAAAATATTTTTGCAGTTATATACAAAATATACAGTTCATAAATTAATAATATTGATGTATGTTTAAAAATTTTTACATGTTATCATTTCAAAAACTGCGGAAATGACAGTCGCCCAGTTAACCGCCGCCCACTTGACTATGGCCCATTGTGAATCGTTCAGTTCTTGTGTACTCCAATTTTGTTTACCCTGTTTAAAGCTTAATATCTCCCGTGCTGCTTTTCGCAAATTTCTGAAATTTTCCAGAGAAGTTTCTGTATTGGAGTTAGTGCTATTAAATTTTTCGCATTTAAAGGTCGACAGGATAGGGAGGGAGATAAGTATTGATAGATCATGCGTATCTCGAGTAGGATCGAACTTAATGACGATTTTACTCGTTACCAGCATTTATAATTTTTTATAAAATTTATCCCTACCCTCAAAATTAAGCTTTTTCACATTTAATAATACTTAAAAATATTTTTAAAAAATTTTTTTAAATATGATAACAGATGCAAATGTTGTAGGGAAAGTTAAACACCTGGTTGCTGGATATTATAAAATTACTGTACTTTCATTGAGTTTCAGGTGGACAGTATTTATAAGTTTAACGAAGGCAGCTTATATACACTTGGCAGACCTTTCAATAAAGGTTAGTTAAAGACCGTCAAATATTATAATCAATTAAATCAACCAACTGCTTTTGGGGGGCTCAGATTCAAATTTTTCTGAAGCCAGGAATAAATGATCGGATGGCCGAAAGAATTGTAACTGGCAAATTTTTTTCTGGTAACACAATGCTTTTTAGCTACAGTTTAAGTGTAGAAATAAATAACAGTAGCCAAAGTGAACATGATGAAAGCATAAACTTATTAAGCGTATTGTTAAGCTGAAAGGGCTTAGCTACCTCATAAACCCTCCTCTAGATAAAATTTTAAATTTCTACAATGAATCACATAGTTTGTTTTATCAAAAGAGTGGAGATTAATTTTTAATTTTATTACCATTAGTGTATTTTAAATTTAGTTTATTTAATACTGATTTTTGATAATTAGATAATAAACCATACCGGATATTAACATGCTCGAAAACTAATGGTAAATCATTATGTCTATCATGAATACTTTTGGGATATTTTAAATCCATTTCTAAGATATATCCGGTGTTATTTTCATCTAATATGTTACATATGTCTAAATTTTTCTGTAATACGCTTCTTGTCTAGTCTTGTGTTCAATTATACTAGCGCTATGACAGCTTTTCCTTTTTTGCAACACTTAATATACCATCAGTCAGAAAGAGGACAAACTAGAAAATTATAACTATTTCCCTGAGGAGTATGCATTTCAGACATTAAGTAACCTTTTCAACTCGGTTTGATATAACTGTTTAAGGAATAATGCATACAAGTTAGCATAAAAATTTTGCAATGTTACAAAATATGTAAAAGATTTTTAAACTTACATGATTA